TTATTAGTGCAGATAAAATCTTTTTTTATTCGTCCAAATACTTTCTGACTAAAATTCTGGCTTAAGTATAAAACAAGATGCACTTTTTCATAGACATTCAAGTGTGGACCAGGGTTTCCAATAGAAATCTAAAACAAAATGTACTTGTACACTTTGCTTATGTGGGCAAAGTGTACGCCACCAAAATATAGGTTAATTTTGACCGTTCCACTGCTCTCAGAAGCAGTGCTCGATTGAGTCGCGAAGTCTCTCTTAATATGTTTAGGTGAATAGTATTCTTCGTCATACAGCTGAAGTATTAGAGATGAAAACGAACGGAGAACTTGAAGAATTGTACGAAAAAACAGCTTGGTTTTATGATGAAAAATATAAACGAGCAGGAGCATGTTATGAAGTGTTTGCACGATCTGTCAGGTAAGTTTTTAGCCTCTATTTCACAACTAGTCGTAGTCAGTTCGAAGAGAAGACGTTTTGCGAGAAAAAAACAGAATGCGTTTAGTTTGCGGATCATTTGAAAGAGGCTTCAGAAGATCAAACAAAATATGCTGTCAAAATTATTGTTCTTTCTTTTCTCATAGGGAGAAAAGCCGCTCTTGTTTGTGTTTACTGTCATTTTTTTCAAGAAATTTCACTCGGTGTCGTGAGAAAATGCAGTCCCACCTGGTTCTGTCGATCAAAGATGCTTGTAAATTATTCAGAAATTATGCTAAACTTTATTCATTGCTTCAGAAAGTTTTTCATGCTAAACTTGTCGAAGCTGCTGAATGCAGTCACTCTACTTTGAACATAAAACTTATTTTTCAGTCCTAGTATCGCTAGTGAAGAAAGTGGATTAAATGATTGTAAAATCGATGAAAAACAAAAGGAAGTTTTATTAGCTAATATTCAAAGACGTTTAACACCACAAGCAGTCAAATGCAGAGCTGGTACGTAGATTCGCTTTAAGTTTGTGAAACTAAAGTATTTTTAAAAAAATAAAAGAATTATGACCATTTCACAGCTGTTCATAAGAACTATAGAACTACCATATCTGAAGAGTAAAATGGCTTAATTTTGTAGTGCTGGTGACTTTGTTAATTGTTTAATTGTTTATTATGATTCGAAACCCGGCCGTCGAACAAGGCTCGTTATTGGCCTTCGT